CGCGACGCTGCCAAAGCTATACAATTGCCCCAATCGGGTAAGCGCAAAGCGTCAAAACCTCATAAGCCAGCTACAAAGCGTCAAAAGTGTGGTGGTGTTGCTCCAGCTGTGGTGGGAGCCGCAAGGGTTGCACGAGCTGCTCCACCGCGTAGTCGACGGCAACGACCGATAACGCCCTCCAAAAAAATTTCTGAATAAGCCAAAACTTTCGTAGGCCTGTATATAGTATAATCCTAGCTTTGCGCAATTTTATTACGATTTGTGGTGGCTCTACAGCCTCATCTTGTTGACTATATTAAGTTGTTGGGGGTGCTCAACTGGCGATGGTGCTCATCTGGTGCACGGGCACTGTAGCGCAAGAGACTACTGCTTGGGAGCCGAAAACGCCGCGCAACGCGCGCGAAATGGAGGCGCAGGCTACGCTTATTCAAAACCGTATGCAAATCCAGCAAGGGTCTCCTACAAGTTCTCTTAAGAAGCAGATACAGTAGTTAAGTAAGAGAGCTTAGCAGATAGCTTATAATATAGTGTTAATGCAGAAGAAACTTAATCGCCTTAAAGCTACGATTACTAAAGTAACGAAGCGAAAAACTCGTAAGAGGCGCTACGTACAGGCAGAGGGGTCCTAGACAGTTGGCCAGATAGCTGATTAGATCGCTGAGGCAGAGGGTGGTAGCTATAATGATGGTGCAACGTCTGCGAAGAGGGTGCGTAGTAAACGGCGCTGCGGGCGTTGCAGCCAAATTGGACACAACTCTCGCACTTGTCAAGTAGAATTAGAGGATACAGAGGATAGCAATGCGTCTGAAGAATAATATCTTATTCTACTTAATAAAAAATATTGTGGTGGTGTTGCGCGATACTATTACAAAGATGTAATAGTTTGGGGAGGTGGCCCACATACTGGGGTGGCCCGCTTACTGGTGAAACACGTTAAAGCTTTATACTTTTACTTTTAGTAGAGCACTAATTTTAGTAGGGTGTCACATCTGCTAAATAGTTGCATGCACTAACCACGCACTGTATATTGAGCTGGGCATGGCGTCTCTAAGTACATTACTTACCATGTGCACTAGCTGTGCGCCGAGTCATTGGACATGCATGTTGTTGCACGCGCAGACTCCGCAGCTGATAGAAGTGTCCGACAATGTCTTTCTCGAAGACTCAAAGGACAAGTAAGGTTCGATGAAGACTTGGTTGAGCTGGTATAAGAAAGACAGAAAGAAAGAAACGCTACCACACCCACACCCTCCCCTTCCTCTTCACTTCTTCTCCCAACACCTCCAAGCGCCCCTTAGCCCTACCAACGAGCCTACTTATATTCTTTCTCGTCCTCAGCTGCATCTTCTCCCTACCACTACCACTACCACTACCACAACCACCACCATTCTCCCAACTACGCCCCACTAAGAAACTCCCTCCCTCTCTCCCCAGCCCCAACGGCACAATCTCAAAGCTCGTATTGAACCTACGATCCAGCTCGCGGCTATACGGAGCCTGTATCTGTGCCAAGGGACTGCCTTCAGATACACTGCGACTGTGTTTCCGGTGTGTATTTAGTGTGGCGAGGGGGTAGTAAGACGGGGGGGATGGAGTGAGCAAGGGAGCTGTATTGATGCGTTTTGGGGTGGTGAGTGAGCTGTTAGTGTAAGTGTTTGTGAGATAGATGAGCTGGGGGATTCTGGTCGGAGACTTGGGGTTAGGTTTGGTGTGTGGGTTGGAGGAACAAGGGCGTCTGGAGGTGGTGTACGTTCTGCTGTCTTTCTCCTTGGTCTTGTGAGATGGTTTCGGTATTGTTTTTTTCTGAGTTTGATGTGGGTGAGGGGGCCTGGTGCTGCTATGTATCCTCGCATCCCTCTCCATCTCACGTATGGTGTCCTGATACACTTTTTCTTCTTTTCCCCGACCTATCGTGTCAGTAGTAGACCTCGCTTGGATCCCAGCTCCTCCCAGCACCTCTCCGAAGGGTATCTCGCGCATTTTCGTCCCTTGATATATGAGATTTGCATCCGGCATGCAGATAGCATTTCTGCGTTGCCATTTCTTTTTGTCAGACACGCTGGGCTGTTGTTGTTGTTGTGCTGTAAGTACACTCCTCGTTACGCCCACACCCTCTTCCATTTCCATTTCCCTTTCCATTTCCATTTCCCTTGCTCTCGATACTTTTGCATTTACAGCTGTATATGCATCTTCCCGCCTCCAGGATACCACCGCCTCGCCATGACCATCCCAATCTACAAATAGCGTCCCGCGACTATCCTGGCCACGCCAGTATTCGGCTTGCGCTTGCTGGTGGGTCTGCCAGGCTAGATGCTGGTCTATGAGTGTTGTGAGGGTGGCGGTGGTTGAAGAAGCCGAGTAGTGAGGTGTGTGGCGGGTGGGATATGTAGCGATGGTTCTGGTATTTGGGTGTAGTTGAACGGGTTGCGGTGGTGGTGGTGGTGGTGGTGGAGGAGGAGGAGGAGGAGGTAATTGTTCTGATGCTGTAGGATACACACTTCCTCTTCTCCGTGTATGTCTCATCATCATCATCAAGATACGCTATAAAAATATTCCTGACCATGATAAATTAGACATTAAGTTTCTCATATCGAAAACAAGGTGAGTGAACAAACAAATTTTTTTTTACCTGTTATGTTGTGTTTTTTTTTTTCTTTCTTTCTTCTTGTAACTATTGATACTGCTACTGCTACTGCTGCTGCTGCTGCTCAGTATTAGGTTTGTGAAACTTGAGAATTTTCAGTGGATTATTTGCATAAGGTGTTGCGCGGGACGGTTATGAATTTATGGGGATATATGCTGGAAGGAGAAGGCCATGGTGAGTGAACAATGGTGCAGAGGAATTCACAGTGAAAGTGCTGGATTGATACTATGCATCTATACGAGTGATGGTTAGGTCATCTTCATGTGCAATGTGAACATGTTGTAGACCACTTAGGACAGCATAATCAGAGTAATAGTCAGAATCACGGTTAGAATAACAGAATAACAGCAATTAACGCATCACCATTAATAAATTAAGTGCACTCGGATGGGCAATACGAGCTCCTGCAATACCGTGACAAGCACGTCAACCAACCCCCCATGTTTACTGTAACCCATCTCTTCCCATCAACCTCGCAACCTCCAAGGAGCTTTGAGAGACATGCATATCAACAAAAATAACGCAACAGATTTTGCTACGGGACATGTCAGACACACTGGAAAGAAATGGTATAGACCAAAGAAAAACAATAACTCCGTGACACGAATAATCAACATGGGGAACAACTAGACCTAAGCGGTAGCAAGCCCCGGGTATTATCAAGCTCCCTGCATCGCCTCGAGGGACGAGGATAAACTTGGAGAACAGACATGGCGGGTAATGAACGGGCCGCTTAGTTCTTGTCTTTGCCCGTGAACTTGTCCTTGAGCTTGCCGAAGAAGGAGCGGCGCTTCTTCTTCTTGTCGTCGGCAGCAGATGTAATGCTCTGGCTGCCGGGCGTACCCTTGGGAGACACGTCCGAGTCTTTTCTCAGGCTCTTGGCGGGCGTCTCTGGGGCCAGCTGGCCAGATGGTTCAGACGTCGTGGCATCGGGCTTGGCGCTGTCTGATTCTGTGGCGGGCGGTGTTTGCTCCTTGCTGCCAAAGGCGACGTCCGTGGTAGAGTCAATGGGCTTGGATTCGGCGGGCTTGGCAGCCTCAGTCTCAGGGGCAGGCGCAGTCGCAGGCTCGCTGGAAGACTCGAGTGGCTTGGAGTCAACGAGAGCCCCATCCGAGAGGCCAGCATCTTTGGTAGCAGCATCCGTGGCACTGGGAGCGGGCTCACCGGCGGCGTCGGTTGGCTTGACCTCGTTGAGCAGTTCACTCTCCACAGCCTTCTTCTCCTCGACTGCCTCGGCGTTGGTGGCGGCCTCGGGGCTAGCATGCGCCTCCTTTTGGCTTTCGACTACGATTTCAGGCACGTCGGCAGCAACAGCCTCTGCATTGGTACCAGGAGCGGTGGCAGTGGTAGCAGCAGTGATGACAGGCGCAGGCTCACCAGCTTCCTCAGACTTGGGCAGCTTGTCGAGCAGTTCAGACTCGACAGCCGCCTTTTCTGTGACGGCCTCGCTGTTCGCGGCAGCCTCGGGGCTAACGTGTGCCTCCTGCTGGCTCTCGGCCACAATCTCTGGGACTTGTGGAGATGCCGTCTCCGGGAGAGCGCTGGGGGCAGCGGCGGCAGTTTCAGTGCTGACTGCGGGCGCAGGCTCACCAGTCTCGTTCGTCTTGGGGACCTCGCTAAGCAACTCCTGCTCCACGGCCGACTTCTCTGCCACCACCTCGGGGCTAGAGGCCGCCTCGGGGCTGACGTGTGCTTGTTGCTGGCTGTCAGCGACAACAGCAGGAACGGCAATGGCGGGAGCGGGATCACCAGCCTCATTGGTCTTGGGAACCTCGCTGAGCAGCTCCTGCTCCACGGCCGACTTTTCCGCAACAACCTCTGGACTGGCAGCCGCTTCGGGCTCAGCGTGTGCGGCATTCTGGCTCTCTGCAACCACGCTGGGCACCTCGTCGGCAGTCGATGTGCTGGGTCCGTTCATGCCAGTGGCCTCGGCGACCTTGTCCTTGGCAGCGTAGGCAGCGGCGGCGAAGAGACCTGCGCCCGCCGTAGCAGCAGCAGCAGCAGCAGCAGCAGTAGCAATGGCAGCCTCGGCCTGTTCGCTCAGGGTGGGGTCCTGGCTTGTGACGGGCGCCTCGGGAACCGCCTCCTTGAGCTCCTGCTCGACTTCCTTCTTCTCCTCGACGGCTTCAGGGTTTGCAGACGCCTCGGGCTCGACGTGCGCCTCCTTCTGGCTCTCGACCACAGCTTCGGGAACGTCGCTGCGAGGCTCCTTGGGGACCTGGCCAGCGAGCTCAGCCGTTGTGCTTGTAGGGGCAGAAGACTGGATGGTGACACCGGTATCTTGCTCAGTCTTGGCATCAACGCCCATGGGAAGGCTGGACTCGGGGATCATGTTGCCAATGACGGGAGGGAGGTCGAACATGCCGCCCTTTGCGTCGCGCTCGGCCTGAGGGGTAAAGTCGAGGGGCGGCAGCGCATCCGCCTTTTCGTACGAAGCAGCGTCGGTCTTGACGGTGCTCTCGACGGTGTTGGACGTCAGGGTGGTGGCGTCTGGCACCTTTTCGCCAGGCGCAAGGTGAATTGGGTTCCCAGCGCCGGCGGTGGCGGGGATGGGAGCGACGCCGAATGTGGAGGCTTCTTGCTGGGGCTCCTCGTCATGCTTGACCGTCGACTCGACAGTGTTATCTGTCAGAGTGCTTGCCTCAGGCACGGGCTCACCGGGCGCAAGCGCAATGGGGTTGCCGAGCGTCTGGGTGGCAGGAATGGGGGCGACGTTGAACGTCTGCGCCTCGGCGGCGGGCGTCTCTGTGTAGGGCGTCTCGGGAAAGGCGCCAGGCAGTGCGGTATCGTCCTTGTCGGCGGCCTCCTTGGGCACGTTGCCTGCAAGCGCAGCGGTTGTCGACTCGGGGGCGGCCGACGACAGGGTGTTGAGGGGGTCCTCGCCGACAATGTCTTCGGGCAGGAGGACGTTGTTGATGATGCCGTGGCCGTCGTCCTCTTTGCGCGCCGTTTCATTGGTACACCAGTTGCCGTTTACGACGAACTGCACTCGGGCCATTAGCAAAGTGTGCGCGACAGGATTTTAGGCAGGCGCCAATGCAATGGCATGGTGCGCCGTGGTTGCGCGCACCTTGTACTGCGTGTGGAGCTTGGGCAGCTCGACCGACTTTCGGAAGACGCCATCAGGGTCCTGGTCCAGCTTGACTGTTTTCCTCCAGTCATCAAAGGTGCCGGTCACGTAGACATCGGTGGCAGCGTGTTCCCTGGGCGCGTGTTAGGCGGAAGCTGGTGGGCAGGCGGGGGGATGCGCCGCGAGGGGGAGCAGACGAACCAGACGAAAGTATATTTGCCCATGTCAGCGCAGCGGTGCAGGCAATTGTGGAATTGCGAATGTGGGAGTCAGGAGGCAGCTTTGTCTGGGGCGCAGAGCGGGTGGGCAGTTTTGGAGGAGGCTGGTGCTGGGTAGGGCGGGCAGGGCAGGGCAGGGCAGGGCAGGGCAGGGCAGGGCAGGGCAGGGCAGGGCAGGGCAGGATTAGGAGCTGGGTTGGGGTGGAGCGGCGCGCGCTCGGACACGGCGACCAGGACAGGGCGGTTGGGAGGAGGGAGCAGGAGCAGGAGCAGGGCGGCGCGGCGTGGACGAGGGTAATATGTAGGATGATGGGGGGTTATTAGCGGCGCAAGGGCGGAGATTGGCACAGAGGGAGTGATGAGCGAGGCTGGAGCTGGAGCTGGTGCTTTGGTGCTTTGGTGCTTTGGTTTGGAGCTGGCAAGTTTGCGCGCGACGGGGCAAGATTAGGGTAGCGACGGGGCGCTTAGCGGCGTCATGGCTTGGCGGGATGCCGTTGACGGGGCGGGCGAGGGTGAGGGTGAGGGTGAGCGAGGGCGAGAGCTGCTGGGGGAGAGCAGAAAGTGGGAGGCGTGGGAGGCGTGGGAGGCGGCGATGACGACAGACACGACTGGTATTATGACGCTCCATTGCTCGCCTTGGCCATGTGCATACGATACAGATACAGATAGACACAGATAGATGTACAGTGCCGTGCAGTGCCGTGCCGTGCATTGTGTCGTGTCGTGTGTGCGCAATCGCCCCCCTCTGTTCGGCCGCCCGCGCGCGCCTGCAAAAGCTACATCATGGCCCCTCCCGCTCGCACATCCCCCTGCCTGTGCTTCACGTGCGCGTGCGTCTGACATGGAGGGGCGAGGGCGTCATCCATCGTATGCGTGTCATCACGACAGGCACTGCATCCAGGAATACACGTGTGCTGGATGCAGGCTGCGTCTGTCCTCGGATAGACTCTGGCCATGTATACTGCGGCTACTGCTACTACTGCTACTACCACCACCACCACCACTACTACTACTACTATGCATCCATATATATGTATGCACAATACATGCATGCATGTACCAGCCCACGTCACGTGCACCCCGCGGCCATACTCCCACTCCCGTCGCGTCGCGCCCATGCGGCCTGTCTCATTCCCCTCGCGCTGCTCACCGCATCTGTGCACGACGACATATTAATTATGCCTCACCGCCACTTGCTCTTGTGCGCGCAACCTGCCCCTCTTATCTATACGAAGCCACCACGTACCACTCACCAAAATACATGTACCTGCTCTGCTGCCGCACTGGCACTGGCGGGCATGCACGGTAATGTGAACCGGTGGGCCGGACAATCATTGCGGCTCCCTGCGTTCGGCCACAGATATGAGATGCTTTCCCCCTCGTATTGCACAGGCGCTGTCGTCGTGTTGAACCTGTCCAAGCGCCCATCAGCACCAACAAGGCGAGAGGCAGTGGCACTGGAGTCATGGCAGAGAGAGAGAGAGAGAGAGAGAGAGCAGCTGTCCCCCTCCCCCCTCTCCGCCGCCTCCGCCCCATCCACCGTCAAGCATCAAGCGTCAAGCAGGCAGACGGGAGCTAAAACACGCGTCTGCATCCATTATTGCTAGCTGCTCAGTCTTCTTGTTCTTGTTCTTGTCTTGTCTTGTCTTGCTCTTGTCTTGCTCTGGCACCCGCCCCTCGCCTCGCCTCGCCTCGCCGTCTCACCCAGCGAAGCGACGCAGAGCCATCCACCCAATTGCGTGAAACCATGTCCAACAAGCGTCGCCTAAATGTCGCAGTGGCCGCCTCCTCGAGCCAGCGCCAGTTTCTAGAGGCCTTCTGGAAGAGAACAAGCCCCAGAAGAGCGCCTTGATCCCTACCTCCCCCGAGCACCACCTAATACTATTACTTGCCTACCTACTACCTACTACCTACCTACCTACCTACCTACCTACCTACCTACTTTCCCACTACTACTATCACCACTACCACCGCCACTACCACCGCCGCCACCGCCGCCATCACCTTCATCATCACCACCACCATCACCACCACCATCACCACCACCACCATCACCGCCGCCGCCATCGCCGTCCATAGGCCTTCCTCTCGCAGCTGGCCGATCCCTTCTTCCTGCCACCCGCCCACCGGCCCAGCGCGTCATCACTGCACCCTCACGCCCGGCACCTTGCACGTACAATTGCTTTCTCTGCTAGCCGGCCCAAACTTTGTCTGACTGCCTGCCTGCCTGCCTACCTGCCTACCTGCCTAGCCTACCCTTCCACCAGCCTGCCTGCCTGTCTGTCCGCCCGCCCTGCTCTGCCCTTCCTCCTATCTTCCGCTTCGCGTTGACGCTGCTCTCGCATCCTCGCCGCATAGCTGCCCCCCCCCCCCTCCACCCCTGCACGTCTCGCGACCGACGTCAAAGAGCTGCGCTTGACCCCTCACCACCGCCCTCCATGTCCCTCCCTCCCGACTACTCCAACGAAATCTCGACGCTCGACCGCGAAATCCTCAAGCACAAGCCACACGACATCCTCCAATTCTGTGCCAATTTCTTCAACCGCCGCCTCGAGTCGCAGCGAACAGAGTACCTGCTGTCGCAACAGCACGCCAACCAGCAGGGCCGTGCTGAGAACTCGTTCCCCGGCAGCAACCCCTTCAGCACCTCGCCCAGCATCGGCAGCGGCTTTGCAAAGGGCAACATGCAGCGCCTCGAGGAAGAAGAGGAGCACGACTCGATGACGTCGCCCACGGCCTCGACCTTTGCCGCCGTCGACTTTGCCCGCGTTCGCTCCAACGGCGGCGGCGGCGGCGGCGACATGGGCGAGAGCGCGTTTGGCAACTTTGGAGGCTTCGGCGGCTCCTCCAAGAATAACATCACCCAGATGCCCCCGCTCGTCGGCGAGGGCCAAACCTTCCCCAGCAACTACAACACCAGCCGCCGCACCTCGGTTTCGGCCGAGTCGCTCAATCCCACGTCGAGCGCCGCCGACAACTTTACCCCGCCCTTCCACCAAAAGACACAAGACCAGCTGTCGCGCCTCAAGTCGGCCGTCGCCGGCAACTTTCTCTTTTCACATCTCGACGACGACCAGTCGGCAATGGTGCTCGGTGCCCTGCACGAGAAGCCCATACCCACAAAGGGCATAAAGGTCATCCAGCAGGGCGATGTCGGCGACTACTTTTATGTCGTCGAAAGGGGCTCCTTTGGCATCTACGTCAACAAGTCGGGCAAGCTCGAGCCGGGCACTGAAGGCGCTGGCAACAAGGTGGGCACCGTGGGCCCTGGTGGCTCTTTTGGCGAGCTGGCTCTCATGTACAACGCGCCCCGTGCCGCCACCGTCACCTCGACGGAGCCCTCGACGCTCTGGGCCCTCGACCGCATCACCTTCCGCCGCATTCTCATGGACAGCGCCTTCCAGCGTCGACGCATGTACGAGGGCTTCCTCGAGGAGGTCCCCTTGCTGTCCACGCTCACGCCCTACGAGCGCTCCAAGATTGCCGATGCTCTCGAGACAAAGAAATACCCTCCCGGAACAGTCATTATCCAGGAGGGCGATGTGGGCGAGTCCTTCTTCCTGCTCGAGTCGGGAGAGGCCCACGTCTTCAAGCGTGGCATCGACGCCCCCGTGAACCAATACCAAAAGGGCGATTACTTTGGCGAGCTCGCCTTGCTCAACGACGCGCCCCGTGCTGCCTCGGTCATCAGCAAGACAGAGGTCAAGGTTGCGACGCTTGGCAAGAATGGCTTCCAACGACTGCTCGGCCCCGTCGAAGGCATCATGAGGCGGAACGATCCTAGCAAGTCGGCAGCCGAAGGCGACCACGTAGATCCCCTCTCGCAGGCTTCATAAAACAACCTTGGCCCCACAACCTAGGACAAGAATATGTTGCACCTAGCCTACGGTCGTGTGCCAAGCCCATCAAGGGATCCAGGACCCCAGTATCAATCATGTTGCCTTGGCGTGGTGCTCCAACTCGTCGGCGTTTTTTCTGCATGTATTCCTATGCTTCCTACCGTCACTAAACGTCGCCTTGCCCGTGCTGGAAAAAAAGGGCTTTGATTCCTGGAGAATAATGAGCTTTAGTTGTGGCCTATCCTGTTACCTATATTCCGCTGCGTATGATAGTCATAGTTTAGACTTGAACATTGATACCTTTTGAATTGTCCAATGTTGCACTTGTGACGTGTCCAGGTTGATTGCATGTGCATATGCTTTTGCTACTCGCTCTCTTTTTTTTTCTACTACCAGCTACCACATCCATCGCGCCGTGCATGACTCGCGTGCCATGATGCATTTGCATTGGTGCCGGTGCCTGCCCACCCACGAAACGTGCCCTAATATTGCTTAGGCGGGCTTGTGCGTCTGCAAATGTGACACCACACCATTGCTTTTCCTCATCTCTTCACCACTTAGCTCACTGCGCTGCCGAGCACCATATGCATGCCCCCCCCCTTATCGTACTGACAACGACGTTTCAACGTCGAAGTCTCGCTGCGAGCATACAGCGGCACATGCTGTCTGATCGACACGGGGCTCGGTAATCTTTGTGGCACTTGAACAGCCCCCCCCCCC